AGTCTGAAATGATCTTTTTATGTAAATAGTTTCTTTTTACTTTTTTTATATTTAGTATTTTATTTTCCCCAATTACATGTAAAAACAATTTTACATTCCTTTTAAAAGTTTGAGCTCTAAATTATCCCCCTTTTTGAGCCCCAACATTGCCTCATTGAGAAGGCAAGCATTTCAATATAGGTTCTACATGGGTAGTCATGCAAAACATTGACATATTAGTCATGTTGTGAAAAAAAATAGCATACACCAAACAAACAAACAAAAAAAAAAACTTCAAGAAAAATAAAGTAAAAAAAGATGCTTCCATCTGCATTCACACACCATTAGTTCTTTCTCTGGGATGGATAGTATTTTTCATCATAAGTCCTTCAGAGTTGTCTTGGATCAATGTATTGCTGAGAATAGCTAAGTCATATGCAATTAATCATCTTATAATATTTCTGATACTTTTTACACAGCATATTTCATTTTGCATCAGCTCATGTAAGTCTTTCCAGGTTTTTCTGAGAGTATCCTGCAAATCATTTCTTATAGTACAATACTATTTCATCACAATCAAACAGAACAATTTGTTCAGCCATTCCACAATTGATGGGCATCCCTTCAAATTCCAATTCTTTGTCGCCAGTAAAGAGTTGCTATAAATATTTTCGTACATACAGGTCCTTTTTTATTTCTCTTTTTTTTCTAATACAAACCAAATAGTGTTTTTTTTTTTTCTGTGTTAAAAGATACGCATGGTTTTAAAGTTCTTTGGGCATATTTCCCAATTGATCTAAAGAATGGTTGAATCGGTTCAGAACTCCTCACAACAGTGCATAAATGTCTCATTTTTCCCACATCCCTTCCAATATTTGTCATTTTCCTTTTCTGTCCCATTATCCCATCTAATAGGGATGAGGGAGTAGCTCAAAATTGTTTTCATTTGAATTTCTCCAGTCAATAGTGATTTAGAACATTTTTATTTGCATGTGGCTATAAATAGCTTCCATTACTTCATCTGGAACCTGTTCATCTTTTTTGACCATTTCTCATTTGGGGAATGGCTCTTATTTTTTTTTATAAATTTGACCCAGTTCTCCACATAATTGGCAAATGAGGTCTTTAACAGAGAAATTTGCTTCAATTTTCTTTCACGGTTATGATTGTTAAATGTATTTCCCTCCATCTTATTCCTTACCCATTTATTCCATTCTTTCTCTCTCCTTTCACCCTGTCCCTCTTCAAAAGTTTTTTGCTTCTGACTATCACCTCCCCCAATCTGCCCTCCCTTCTACAAACCCCCTTCTCTTCTACCCTTTCCCTCCTACTTTCTTGTAGGGTAAGATAGATTTCTATACCTAATTGAGTTTGTTTGTTATTCTCTCTCTGACCCAATTCTGATGAGAGTAAGGTTCACTCTCTCCCCTTTCTTGCTCCGCCATCTTCACCTCCACTGTTCAAGCTTTTTCTTGCCTCTTATAGGTAAGATAATTTACCCCATTCTACCTCTACCTTTTGCTTTCTCCCAGTGAATTTCTCTTTCTCATCCCTTAATTTAATTTATTTTTTTCAGTTACCATCCTTTCATATTCAAGTCACACCTGTGCCCTCTGTCTATATAAAAATTGTCTTTGTCTAGAAAAAAAAATGTTTCACCCCATCCATTTGTGGGTACTGCTGCTGCAGGAATGGTTTTATGGCATTATTAAAAGGTGTTTGGAAGGGCTCCGGGGAGAGCTCAGAGTTGCCTTTTCTCTTCCATCTTGGCTCCCTATCTGAAATAATCCTGATGTTAACCTTTAGGATGGACAGTACTGGTAACATTCAAACAGCATACAAGAACAAGCTGAGGCAAAGAAAATTAAATGTTTTAACCCTGGTTATACAATTTCTTTCTGATAGAGCATAAGTAGAATTCGAGGGTAGTCCACTTCTTCCAACACATAAGTTTATACTGCTATAAGTTTTATATATATATATATATGTGTGTGTGTGTGTGTGTGTACTATATGTATACATTCTATATATGTTATATATTCTTACTCATTGTCACAGAAATAAGAAGTATGACTAAATACACAAAGGCAGAAATGACATTGGTGGGCTTCCACGAGCCAAGATGGCAGAGTAAGAAGTAAGTTGCTCTCACTGTCCCTTATTAGCCTCTGAATTTCCAGAAAACATCCTCCAGGAAAAACCCTGGAACAGCTGAACCAGAAGAAAGATTGGGTGTAGCAGTCTGGTAGCTCAGGTAGATTGAGAGATTAACAGAAAAGGCCCCTCTTGCCCTGGGGGAGGGAGAAAAGTGCAGAACTGGAGGTGTCCCAGCAAGCTAGCAAAAAGCCCCACCTCAGCATACAAAGAGGAGATCCTGAAACTCAGGTGGTGGAGCAGGCAAATACCAACACCAGGACCCCCAAGAGCCTCGATATGGGCAGGGGAACCAGTGGAAATGGGCTCTGAAAACCACCACATGCCTCAGGCTTTTACAACAGCCAAGTCTCCTTGTGCCTCAGTAAAACTCTGGGAAGCACAACTCCAAGATGGAAAGCCCCAGGCAGAGAAACATCCATCTGCAAGTAGCCAAAGAAAGGACCAAAAGGCCCGGGTAAGCAGGCACCCTCCAGGGGCCAGACTGCCCAATTCTACCCCTAGATTTCCAGTGTTGCTGATTCCAGCCCAACACCAGGTAAGCTGCCAGAACCCTACAGCCTCCAACTGCCAGCATCTGAGGCCCCAACACACAAAGCCAGTGAGCAGGCCCTGGGCTCACAGCACAAGAAGTTTGGGTCAGTGGCCCCTGCTCCCCAGCAGGAGAGCTCATTTTTGTTTTAAGGCCAGGAAATAAGTGAACACTATGACCAAAAAGAAACATACCATAGATTTTTATTATGGAGAAAATGAAGATCAAGGCAGAAATTCTAAAGAGAACAACATTGCCAACAAACCCACATCTGAAACCTCAAAAGGGAATATGAACTAGTCTGAAGCCCAAAAAGCCTTCTTGGAAGAGCTCAAGAAGGATTTGAAAAATCAAATAAGAGAGCTAGAGGAATGGCATTGGTGTATTAATTGGTCTAGTCTCAAAGATCTCAAAGATAGAAGGGATTGCAGGGGTCATCTCTCACATAACACATAAAGAAAATGAGAATCAGAAATGGTAAGTTGCCTGTTAATTGCATCATAAGTAACAAGATTACACTTTGGGATTTGAATCCAGAGACGGTATTTCTTCCACTGTGACATGTTTCCACATTGAACAATCCAAACTGGCTGGAGAGGTGAGTGCAGAAGATTTTTTTTTTCAAAAAAAAAGTAAAAGATCATTTTTAGGGGGTTTACAACTTGTCTCAGTATTTCAGTCAGTGGTGTCAGCTCTCTTGGCACCTACCATCTTTCAAACACATGGTATTCTCCTAATATTCTCTGATTACTCCCACATCCTACGTGGAACAGTTATGCCTGGGCTATGTCCAGTTCATGCTGAAGTTGAAATATATGAAATATTATAATTTACCAACTTGCCTATTTCATTCTTCCAGCAAACAGGTGTCAGGTGCATGTTGCAGTAGGAATGAACTGATCAAGATTCCACATGAAAGGGGCAGCTAGGTGGCTCAGTGGATAGAGCACAGGCCCTGAAGTCAGGAGGATGTGAGTTCAAATCCTGCCTCAGACCAAACATTTGACACTTACTAGCTGTGTGACCCTGGGCAAGTCACAACCCCAATTGCCTAAAAAAAAAAAACAAAAAACAAACAAACAAAAAAAAACAAAAACAATATTCCACATGAAAGTGTAAAAAGAGACTATAGTCCAATGAATGAAAAGATATTAAAATAAGATGATTTCCTACCATTACTGAATGAATCTCTAAATCTATAATGTTGAGCATCCTCAGTAAGGCAAATATTTTAGGTGAGCACATGTGCCTGAAATCATATTACAGAGAAAATTTGGTCCATCTAACAAGTTTTTTTTTTGAGCAGCTGCTATGAGTAGGACACAGTTTAAGAGAGACAAAATTATATGAGGCATGACATCTGCCATTAAGATGCTTAGAATACAGCAGAAGGCTCAGGAAATACACATGAAAAAGAACACTCAGGTTTTACTAAAAAAAAATATCTGGTGTGGATTTTGCAATATGGTAACTTAAGAAAGGAAGAAAATGTATATATCTGGGTATGGCCAGAAAATTTTACTCAAAAAAGTGGGAGTAAGTAAGGTGGACTCTGAAAAAATAGTAAGATTATGACAAGCCAAGAAAATTGGATGCAGTTTTCTAGGAAGGAAAAATAATCTATCTATCTATCTATCTATCTATCTATCTATCTATCTATCTATCTATCTATCTATCTGTGTGTATGTAGGCATATGTGTGTATTTATAAGTATATATATGTATGTGCATGTGTGCATGTCTACATATGTACATATATGTATACATATATGATATATATGATATATATTATACAGAGAGAGAGAGAGAGAATTAAGGTAAAATTACATAGGCCAAAAGGTACAAAGCAAAAAGGAATATCCTAGTTGGGATAATTCACAGTATTTTCTTTTTGCTAATTCTTATCTAATATGAATGCTATAATTCCTGCTGTCTGGACATTAGTATTAAAAAAAGCATAAAAAAGCATAAATATTAGGTATGAGGTAGATGGTATTCTTGTTGGCATTAATGAAATCAAAATTTTACAGATTTTATTAGTTATTTTACTCTGCTTCAATTTTTCCATCCATATAGCCATAGTTCTTGGTAGATAGGAACACCATAATTCTTTATTGAATAATTTGGACTTGTCCTCCAAAGAAGAGGTCTTGAAGTATATAACAGAGAATGTTATGAAGGGAGATTCAAACATAATATATTAAACCCAGAAAGAAAGCTGTCAGATCATATAATCCAAACTTCCCCTCTTTGCTAAGACAGAAACTGAGGACAAGAGAAGAAAAGTGATTGGCTGTTTTTGAATTTATTATTTTCACAGGCCAAAGAAGGACACAATGTCAGGGGACAACCTCACAGTTGTGATGGAATTCATTCTCCTGGGATTTTCTGATCTTCCCAAACTCCAAGGGATTCTCTTTGCGATTTTCTTAGTCATCTACCTAAGTATACTGATAGGAAATAGCCTCCTCATTTTCTTAATCAAGATTGACTCAGGTCTCAAAACCCCAATGTATTTTTTCCTTGAGAACTTTTCCTTCTTGGAAATCTGTTACACATCAGTCACTCTCCCCAGAATGCTGGCAGATCTCTGGACCCAGAAGAGAACTATTTCATTCCTAGCCTGTGCTGTACAAACTTGCTTCTTTTTTATTCTGGGAGTGGCAGAGTGCCTGCTCCTGGCTGTGATGGCTTATGATCGTTATGTGGCCATCTGTAAGCCTCTCTACTATCCTCTCATCATGAATCACAAGGTATGTGTCCAACTAGTTGTGGCTTCCTGGATGATTGGGGTCCCAGTATTGATAGAGCAGACATATCAGATTTTTTCTCTGAACTTCTGTGGTCCTAACAAAATCAACCATATCTTCTGTGATGCCCCACCTTTATTCAAATTGGCCTGTGGGGACACATATAAGATAGAAATCTCTGTCCATGTTGTTGCTCAGCTATTCATCCTAACTCCTTTTCTGTTGATACTTGCATCATATGTTAAAATCATTACTACCATCCTGAAATTGTCTTCAACCTCAGGGAGATCCAAAGCCTTCTCCACCTGCTTCTCCCACCTCATGGTTGTGGGCTTATTCTATGGGTCTGGAAGTATTGTGTATTTCCAGCCCAAATCCGGTCACTCAGCAGGATCAGTCAAAGTGTTTGCTCTTTTCTACACCACTGTGACCCCAATGTTCAATCCCTTGATATACAGCCTGAGAAATAAGGATGTTATTGCTGCTCTGAGAAAACTACTTCCTAAATGAATCAAGTCATGAAGCAGGGTTAAGTATGTAAACAATGATTTTCTCTTCTTTCATTCCACAATTCCTGCAAAAATGCAAATTTTCTTATTTTTCCAATGCACTGAAAATGCACTCAAATGAGAACCCCCAAGACGTTCTATTGCCTCTTATGTTGAACAATTTGCTCTTATTTAAATGATGACTAAAATCAATAAACATTCTTAGTTCAATCATACTATGCTTTCTATAAGCTTCTTAGGAATGCATAAATTTAAGTTCTTTTAAAAATATCACTTGCTATGTTCTGGAAAATGGAGAGAGAGAGAGAGAGAGAGAGAGAGAGAGAGAGAGAGAGGGAGAGAGAGGGAGAGAGAGGAAGAGAGCAGGCAGATTTGCAGGCAAAGGCAAGGAATGACAACGAGTTAGAGAAACAGATCAAACAAAAATAATAGAAACAGAAACAGATATAGAAAAAAATGGAAAGATTAATTTGCTTGTAAGGGTAAATTCAAGAATCCTGAAGCTTTAAAAATTTATTTTTTTCTTCATCATAGTGGTATTGGATTGTTTTATTAGATTAAGTATGTACTTTAGTGTAAATCACTGTATACTGTATGATTTCATTTAAAACTGCTCTCTTTCTGCAAGGTTTAAAAAATTCTGAAATAAAGGAAAGGTTTTCCTGCTCAAAGTGTATTATGATTGTCTTGACAGTCTATCAGAAGAAATATAGCTCAATGAGGAAACTGCATTTTATATAAATATCAAGAAATAAATGAGTGGCACTATGGTTATGATTGCTAGCATCCCCATTTTACTATCCCCAAATAGGTTACCCATTTTTATGGTGTAAATTTATAGAATATTAAATATATAACATACTTTGGAGCCTATATATTATAATTTGTACTGGAAAAACTCCTCCCCAGGTGATGAGTTAAATTTTTCATTAAAAAATTTAAAACATATCCAATCAGTTGTTGCATGGAGTCCATAGCTCATTGGAACCCAAAGCTGTTCATTTCCTTTCTGAATCATTCAGTTTCTTTAGAAATGCCTTCCTTATATCAAACCTAAAAATGTCTCTCTTCAATTCTAAACCTTTTTTATGCTCTCTTGGGTCAAGCTGAAAATGTTTAATTCCATTCCCTCACGTCGAAGACTTTCAAAATTCATGAAGACAACTATCATTTTTCCCTTTAGTCTTCTTATCTACAGATGAGAAAAATCAGCTTCAGAATAGATAGAAAAGCCTGGAAATCCTAAAGGTACAGTACCAGCATGACAAAGTTCAGGGTAAAATAGAATAATATCAGTTGGTCAGATGACAAAGTTTGGAGAATGCAATGGTCAGGCAAATAGTTAGGTCAGAAGATTTTAGGATACAGTGCTAAGTCAAGTTGTGAGACCTGGAGATCCTTCATCTTGATTAATTGGTTATGCCTTGCCCATCTAAGTGCTGTGAATAGTCTTGTCCTTTATTCTTGGTAGAGGGTTATGGAGATCACTTACTCTGACCTCTTCCTTTGAATTAAATTGGGAGACAGAGAAGACAAATGGTTTACTGAAAGTCATGCAGATAAAAAAATAGTAGAGCTGAAATTCAAGCCCATATCCTCTGATCCATAATTATGTGGTCCTAGCACTTCCCTTTTCCCTTCACACACTATGAGTACATTAGTGTGTCTTCCCAAGAACTATGATAATTATACCAAGTATTTCCTTTAGAAGTGGAATGCTACAGAAGACATTGTTTGGTCCAAGATATTAGGAGCTAAATTTTTCCAAAGATTTGAATAGAAAAAATGAATAACTAATTAGTTCCTTCAATGATAACAATGAACATGGCAAAAAGAAAAGAAAAGAAAAGAAATATCCCTTAATTTTTTTTCACTAAAACACTAAGATGAATGAAAAGGAAAATAATATAATTTTCTTTTTAAAGATTAGGAAACTCATATTAGGAGAAGAAAAGTGACCTTCCAATAATTAGATATCTAAGAAGATCCAGACCTAAGGCTTGAATATAGTCACTTGACTCAAAGTTCAGGATTTTCCCCCATATATCTTTGACTCCTTAAGGGTTGTTTAGATGATTGGACTTTGACCCAGAACACTGTTTCATTAAAAAAAAATATGAAATATGGAATGAGAAAGAAACTGTCTTCAGAGAGCTGAAAAGGGCAAGGTTCATTTCTACTAAAAACTAACACTACATGATTTCAATGGAAAGATACTTTTTAGAAGGGAGATTGTCCACCTTTGTAGGCTTTGTTGGTACTTTTTGGTAAATTGTAGTGCTTAATTGAGAAAAGTTATGACCTCTTGGAAAGAGTGTGAAATTGTACTTAGGAGAAACTTGGTTTGAAATTTTGGCTCTGGCACCTAACAGTCATTGGTCAAAGCCATTAGGACTGATTAAGTCTCAGTCTTTCCATTTGTAAAATTAGAATACCTGTGGTACCTACATTATGGTACTGGTGCAATAATATTCATAAAGAGTTTTTCAAATATTACCATCATTCATGGATGGAAGTTATTATATGCCTCTACTTTTTTCAGTATCATCATTGAAGAAGAAGGATCTGAATAATATGATTTAATTCCTTCTAAGAAAGGTAAGTGTCAGCTATTTTTCTGCCTCACCTTCAGTTCCATTGATCTGAAGGAGATCTGCAGAATCATAGATCTATGATCTTCATGACAATTCTGAATCTTATTATCCTACTCAAGAATGGAGATTCAGGGAAGAGATTACCCAAGGAATAAAAGACCCTTTTTTACAGAATATCCCCATTCCCTCTGCAAATCAATGTGTGTGTGTGTGTGTGTGTGTGTGTGCACATGTGTGCATGAATGTGTGTGTTTGGGTAGGGAGACTTCATTAGTAGTCACAAATATGGCCAAATAATGTAATCCATGTAGCTTGTTTTATAGCTGTTTCATTTTTTTGCCTTTTATCTTTTAAACCACACTTTCCTGAACACACCACTCACTAAATTTCTTTTTAAACAAAGAAAAAAATGGTTAAGCAAGTGTATGTGGATGTGGATGTATAAAATCAGACTTTTATCTGAACTATAGTGCATATTTTCCCCAGTAGTTAGTTTTTTTTATTCAAATGCAACTACATTGTTTTGTGTAAATTTATTTAATATAATCAAAACCAAATATTTTGAATTTTTTTCTAACATTGTTTATGTATTGCTATTAGATGTTGTACAGATAGGAGTGCTAGTCTTGTGGTCAGGAGAACCTTCATTGAAATATTGTTTCCAACTCTTGGAAAATATGTGAATCTTTGCAAGCCAATTAACCTCTTTGCCTCATCTATGAAATGGAGGTATTAATTTTTTTTATATCACATTACTTAGAATATTATTTGTATTATTACATTCTTCATATTACTAACATGAGAATTATGTTGTGAATGAAAATTTGTAATATAAAGTTGCTTTTCAAATCTTAAAGAACTAAGAAAATGTTTGCTGTTACCATAATCTCTTCTGAACCAATAAATATGAACTCTATCTCATCTTGTTCTCTTCCTCCATTGATTCTCCCAATTCCCCAACCTCCCTAAAAGTGACCTGTTATGCTTAGGTAACTTATCAACTTGCTTAATGCTTCTATATGAACAATTGGCTATAAGGAGGAAGTTTCTGGAGTTCCTGGCAAGTAAGAAATTGATCAGAGGATCATAAGACTTGTTGGAAAATGGGAAATAGAAATATTGTTCTAGTTCTTTTGGTGACTCTAAATTAGAATTTTCAGGTTAGTAATTCAGTTTACTACTTCAGACAAGCCCTTGTACCTTCAACTTAATTGCACCAATATACAATAAAATATATATAATACATATACATACACATTTATGAATTTTAGTTTATGTGACATATGTAGCTGGAAAGGCCAAATTAGATCCATAAAAATTAAGAACAGTGCTTAGAGGTTTTCTCTGGTCATAGAAAATGAAAAGGCGCTAGAATTTTTCAAATGCCCCCCTCTTTTTCCTTTTTTTTTCTTTTTACTTTGTAGACTTGGCTTTGGAAAAGGCAGAAAAATGGCGACTAGATAGTTGAAACTGAATATAAGTAGGGACATAGAAACTGAAATCTTAGAGTTGTTAATGAGAAATTAACGCACAAAGGCCCTGATGGATTATATTACCACGTTACATAAAGAAGTGTCTTAAATGATTCACAAGTAATCATACTCATTATGTGTGAGGTCTTTTGGAAACATAAGGATCAGGATGTACTTTATAAAATCAAATGTTTTCTCCATTGTTTTCTCCATAGTAGAGAAAAGGAAGAAAGTTGTATAATATAAAGGTCAACTTTTATTCTTGGAAGAAATTGTGAAATGCTATTTACAGGAGCAGTTACTGAATATATTAAATCTAATGTCATTTTGAAACAAATGGCATGGCTTCATTTAGAAGAGGTACTACTAAACTAAGCTTTTTTATTTTATTTTACTTCACATGATTAGCAAACTCATATATGAGGGGTATGCTCTGGATAGAGTTTACTCACATTTAACAAAGAATTTGAAAAACTTTTGATGTGGCAGTTAGTCCTAGACATTCCCCTTAAGGAGGTCAAAGATAGGCAAAAGTCCAATATATTCAATCATACTCACAAAAGTCCTTTCATGAAGAACTTTCTGCAGTCACAGAACAATATTTTACTATAAAGCAACAATTATAGAATTATGACTTGAGGAAGTTTTTTTTCCTTAAATTCATCTAATGATAATGATGCTAATATTAATGATAATGATGCTGATGCTACCTGGAATACCTAGGATTGTATCATTTTCAAAGTGTTTTTAGATTTACTTCATGAAATATTATTGATATTAACCTTTGGTACAGGCAGTGTTGGTAACATTCATACAGCACACAAAAGCAAGCTGAAGCAGAAAAAATAAATAAATGTTATAAGCCTAGACAGACAATTTCTGTGTGAAAGAACCAGAAGTAGAATTCAAGGCCAGTCAACTTATCTTTCCAAAAC